TTCCCAGCACCCACATGGTGGCTCACAACCATCTGTAGTGAGATCTGGCGCCCTCTTCTGTATACATAATAAATAAAAAAAAAAGAAAGAAAATATTATTTCAGCTGGGCCTGGAGGTGCAGGCCTGCAGTCCTAGTTAATCAAGAGGCTGAGACAGGAGGATTGCAAGTTTAAGGGCTGCCTGGGCTACAGAGTGAATTCAAGGCCAGTGTAGGCAACCCGTGTGGCCCTGTTTCAAAGTAACAAGTAAAAAGAGTGCTGGGCTGCAGCTCATGATGGAGACCTTGCCTAGTATATATGAGTCCCTAAGATCAATTCCTGACACCATAAGAAACCTTTCAGTTCAACAATCACCTCCTCAAAACTCTTCCCAAATGGCTGAACATCGTACCCAGTAAGGCACCCTTTTCTTGTCTGCCGTCTGTGCTTGATGAGTTACTGCTTATCTTTGTAGAGACCCTCCAGGCACGAGCTCCTCAAGGCTCTCTCTGAGTCTCCTTGCTTTTCCTCCCAGGCTATGTTAGAGTCTCTTTCTGGTAGACCCTCAGCCCGTGGGCATAATTCTGCCACTGTATGGCATTTGTCATGATTTTCCCTTTGTAACTCTGGTTCCCTAATTGATGGGGTGCCTTGAGGGGTACCAGTCTCCTTCAGCTTCGCAAGTCCAAGGGGGCTTAGTATTATGGTTGGTACCCAGCAAGTGTTGGATCGAGTGAAGGAAGCTGCAGGAGGTCCCTAAGATGAGGGAACTTGCATCTTAGGATCAACATGAGTCCACTGTGGGTGGTTGGGGCCAGTCCCTTCATTTTATCTTTCCTCCCAAAGAAAGACCTGGTGAGCAAAGTTGAACAAATGCCAACAGCACAATGGCCTTGGGATGGAGGAACGTGTCTTCAGCCTGGGTTGTCACTATGGCCTTCAGACAGAAGCCGTAGTTCTCCCTGTCTCTATTTGGCTTGAAGTCTTGCATTTTAAGAGCTGGGATAAGCTTCATCTACAACTTGCTTCACCCACGTCCAGAGGCAAAAATAACTGAGAATATTCTGGGCTTATTTACAGATTCCATTGACATCTCTTTAGTTTTGCCTATAGGTAATTTTCCCAAGTACCACCAACGAACTGCCTAGTTAATAGAAATACATATTAGTGCCTAATCACGATCTTCAGCATGTAGAAAGAACCAGGAGACCTCTACCAAGAGGCTTATCTGGACCAGGACTGACATATTAACTGGCCACCATTCAGAGCCCTTCTTTTTGGAGTTAATTTATGCTAACTGAAAGAGAAAGGAAATTACCTTTCTACCTTAATTATAATAGGAGTATATGTAGACAATGTTGGAGATACAGAGCATATGGACGGAAATTAAGCTGACCTGTAAAATTCCACTGTTGGGTTATAGCTACTGCTGTACTCTGTTGTGTTTTCTTTTTATATTTGTATATACCCGCACGTACTTTATACACTATATGAATATTTATATGTGTGAATTTAAATACCAAATCAGGAGAATATTTTATGTGCATTTTTATAAGTTGCTTTTCATGTAATGCTATATCATGAACAGATTTTGCATGCCATTATACAGTTTTCAAAGACAATACTTTGGAAGGTGGCAGAGCATCCCACTGTCTCTAAACTTAAGGTTTAGTGTCATGCCTCACCCCAAGCACAGAAGGCATGGTAAGCTCGCCCCATCATGACTTGCTTCCCGGTAACGGTCCAGGTTTTCCACGGAGGCCTCACACAGGGGCATGGGGTCAACTGCGCTCATGAATTCATGGGTTTCTGCCCAGTGTGGCCTCTTACATCCACCCTAGGGGGACAGGACTACTAGGAAAAAGGAAGACTCGTGAGTTACTTGGATGGGAGAGAGGGTCAGATCTCATCCTCTTCCTCTTCTTCAACAGCTGAAGCACTTAGTAGGAGAAGCTATAGCGATTCTTTACTGGCTCATGAAGCTTTGGGAATGGGGCTCTCACCAAATTCAAGACCTCTTTAAAGGCCTTGCTGTTGAAAATACTTCTCAAATGCATGTGCCCATTTTCTTGTCTTAGTAAACTCGGTACAGCCATCCCTCTGGATGTGGACTGAGCTGAGGATGCTCGAGTGTCTTATATATAATGAGGCAGCATCTGCACCTCACCTGTGACCACCCTCCTATACGCTCTATGCCATAGATGAGTTGAAATACCGAGCAAATGTACATTCTGTCCAAATACCTCACTATGTGATATCGGTTCAGGGATACTGACAAGAAAGATCAGTCGCTATATGTTGAGTCCATCGTCAGTTCTTTTCAGAGCATTTTTGATCTGCGGCTGGTGAAACCCATGGATACAGAGCTTGTGGAGGGGAAGGCTGACTGCACACATAAATGACTTTTTTTTTCTTTGTTTATTGCAGATGCCTGCCTAATGCCTCAGGCTCATCTTTCTGAAGTGAATTAATGAGTTGTCATGCCTCCAAACCCACCACATGTTCTCACAAAGTAAACGTCCATCTTCCAGCCAAGTACCCCTCCTCTGGGAGACCTCGTCCTGCTGCGCACTGGGGCAACCTCATGATGGCATGGGTATCATTTTAGTGCAATTATTTGTTTATAACCCAACTAGATCCTGAGCTCGTGGAGAGCAGGGACCTGCACATGGCTCACAATAGGCACACAATAAATATAGGTGTGCATTTGTACACAGTTTTACTTTTTCTCTCAGGTGTGGGATACAGAAGCACTACACATGTTGAAAACCAAAGCCTGGGACATAAATCCTAACTCAAGGACTGGTGACAAGAATGTCATATCACGACTGTCCCTCTCATTCTCCATACCCTTAGCAGCTATGATTTATTGAGAACGTGAGCTGTAAACTAGGTCTGTGGTGCCTCACTGAATGTGATGCCTTACAGTGACCACAGGTGGTGGGTGCTGCTATTATCCCTGTGTTGCAGACAAGGAAGCCAAGGACCAGTGGTATTCTTGCTCAAACAATGAAGCCAAGAACCAACCTTGGACTCAAAGCTGGGCTGACTGCAAAGACCACATCCCTAAAAGGTGACTATTACCGTAGTTATTTTGGAGGGCTATCTAAATACAATTAGCTGTCTGTATTGTTGATTCTGTATGTGTAGGAAAAACTGCATCTTGATCGAATAGGTATGGACTCTTTTCTTGTGTCTATTTTTCCAAGCAATACGCTATGGGAAGCATTTACATAGTGCTGACATTGTATGAAGATATAAAGTATGCATGATATTGTGTACATAAATGACGTATGCAAATATCGTATCATTTTATAGAAGAGACTTGAGTGTCAGGGGCTCTTTCAATCCACACAGGCTTTAGAACTATCCTCCCTTGGATATGGATGGATGACTGCACATATATAAATGTAGTGAAGAAGTCTGTGAAAAAATTCAAAATGCCTACTTTCTAACTGTACAAAAATGAGGTTGATTTAATATACCATCCGTTACAAAAAGAATGAGGGGAAAGAATATTAATCTCTGGGTATCCACCCACCTTTGGCTTTATGGCCGGGTTGCCTCTCAGGGAGGGATGCCAGTAGAGAGCAGCTATGAAGGAATGACCCCCCCACAGTGTTAGTCCATCTATTCTTTTTTTGTGGGAAGCACAGGTGGGAAAGGACCACAGAGCTTGAAATGCTATTCTAAAAAAATCAGTCAGGGACATTTGCTGTACATCTCAACTCTTGGCTCGGAGACAACTGGCTGGATAGATCAGGGTCGCCTCTTTACATGTAGACAGACACCCTACCCTGTCTATGTAAGGACCAGACACAGCACTACAGTTCAATCTTAACAGCTCTCTGCATGTTCATGTTTTCATCTATCGCCTTTGATTTTCATAGTGTCAGAGTCAAATAGATTGAGGCCACCTTCAGCTGGAGAAAATGAGAAGCAGAATGATGATAACCACCTGCATCACAAATAATGTTAATTCAATTGTCAGTGGTCAACTAATAACAATATCAGAATTTCTTTGAAAATTTCCTACTTTGTAGAGGCAATGGAAGCTTCGCTTCGGGAATCTCAGACTCCACTGAGACCATCCTGTAGTTTCGTGACGGGCTTAGGAAATTAAATTTCATCAAATGGATGAGAAAATCAGGAAGTAAACAGTGCACCCGGAGTCACACGCTGACATGGGTCCTACTCATCTGTGGTGACAGCGGAGGAGGTCAGAGCGGAATTCGGCTTAAACCTCCCCAGTGTCCGGTCTCACAGCACAACCTTCTTTTCTACACACCCCGAAGCGCCCCTTCCTGGTCACAGTATGCTTGACTCCCGTGCGTTACCTCCCTGTACTTCAGTTCGCTTGGTATCTACTGATGGTGGAGCAGGATCGCATGCTCCCCCAGAGTCAGCTGACCGTGTGTCCTGCATACTGCCATTTCTATCCCTCTAGTTTGGGTCCTTCCAGGGCCCACATTCAGCCACAGAAGCTCGGAAAAAGAGGGAGCTCCAGCTGCCACATGTGTTGACTTCCAGCACCGTGGCTTCAACTTTCCCTACGCGTTCCCAAAGCCAATCTCAGCTCCACCGCGTTCTGCACACAGAGGACAGAACTGCAGAACTGCAAGTAAGGGAGGAATGAACGTGGCTAAATATAGCAGAGCCTGCAAACGTGCCCTTCATAGAGAACTAAGAATGAGCAAGGGTCTAGCACAGTGGTTCTCAACCTTCCTAACGCTGCCGTTCTTTAATACGGTGCTTCATGTTGTGGTGACCTTCTAACGGAAGAATTATTTTCCTTTCAACTTCATAACTGTAATTTTGCTGTTGTTATGAGTCGGAATGTAGATATCTGATATACAGGGTATCTGATAGGCAACCTCTGTGAAAGGATCGTTCGATTCACAAAGGAGCTGCAACTCACAGAGTCACTGGTCTATCGAAAAGGTAAAGCTTTTTAATGCTGTTTAGAAAAAGGGGCGGGGAGGGTTGAATATACAGCTCAGGGGTAGAGGGCCTACTTATCATGCACAAGGATCCGAGTTCAATGCCTAGTCTGGCAAAAAGTGTTTTAATGTTTAAAACTACTGAATGAAGTCCTTCCCAGATTCTTGAAGTGCATCCGATAAAGAATGCATCAACGTATTTCTAATCTACCCACATCAACTTATTACTGAGTGAACTAGAGAAGGCAAGCCTGCAAATTCCCTTGGTTCTGTGTGTTCCCTACTCCTAGAGACCTTCTTAGGAAGATGACTACAGCTTGGGAGGTTCATGGCCATAGTCTTATAGCTCCCCATCACTCACAGGGGCTGAGAGTCAAGGAGATAAAATATATTTGTAAGTCTCAGGCTTCTTTGTCTCACACCCGTCCCTTCTCTTCTAACATCACGCCGCTGCTCCTGCTTCTGAGATGCCCAGGTGGAGTCTGGGAGACCTGATATACAGAGATGGAGAAGGGTTCCAGGCCTAGGCAGCTGATGAGAGGAACAGACATCAGATTCCATAACAGACTCTAAACCACATCGTGGGCTTGGTGCTGCTGACCCACAGGAGGAATCTAACTCAAAACAACAGTCTGCGGTGATTAATCTTGGCTGTCCACTGGACCGAAGTCAGAAACACACAAGGAGGGACATCTTCGGGTGAGTTTACGAGGGTGTTTCCAGACAGATTTCACTGAGGAGGGACGGACCCACCCTGAGTGTGGGTCGTACCTCCATGGACTGGGGTCTCAGACAATATAAAGGGGAGGAAAAGGGGGGAAGCTAGCTAAACCCAGCACCGCTCTGTGCTTCCTGATGGCAGATGCAGCGGGACCAGTGTGCCTCACGTTCTTGAGGCCCCCTTTTCCCTACCACGACACGCCGTGAGCCAAGGTGAACCCTGCTCTCCCGAAGCTGTTCTTTATCAGAGTGGCAACAACAAAGGTAACTAATCCATAACCCTCACTCCTTTTGTTTGGCTCTATTCTGTTTGTTTTTCCCCTCCCTGTCGTCTGAACGTGAAAAATATTAAATGGTAGATTTAGTGTTGACATAAATAAACAGGAACAGGCAACACATTATGTATCATTTGGCATAACATTCCCAACCTGCCTGCAACCAGTGCACCACAGCGTCCCCTAGGACACTGACCATGTGAGAGTCACAGCCTCGCTTTCACAGGAAGGCTCTGCGCTCTCGCCTTAGGTCACGGGATTTCCATGGGAAACTGTTCTGAAACATTTCACAAACGGGAAGCTTCCTAGACATCGCCGAGGCTTATTGTAGACAGCAGATAAAACCATGTGGTAGTGGTGGGAACAAGCACATGTATGCTGCCTGAAAAAGGTCTACAAGGCCATAAAGCTGATGACCTCAAACTGAAAACAGCAACCACCACCACCCACCAAAACCCACTTATCCATACCACCTAGAAGGTTACATATGCACTTGAACTGTAGAAGGAATCTGTTACTTTTTTTTTTTTTTTTTTTTTTTTTTTTTTTCTTTTTTTGGTTTTTTTTTTTTTTTTTTTTTTTTTTTTTTTTTGTCCTCTCTGGTAATCCAGGGTACTGCCTCGAATGAATCATAAAGCCTTAAGATTGGACCAAAATATGGAATTGCCCTACATAAAGACACAAAGAACCTTTTTTTTTTTTTTTTCATGCAAAGCTGTGATATCTCAAAGGTCCAGGTCAAGGCTGATGGCCTTTGTTACTATTTTTGAAGTTAGACAAACTGTGCATTTTAGAGAGGATTAAAACGCCAGATTTGTGTAAAACGAAAATCCTCCGGAGCAGATACAAGAAGAAACTCCAAGCCTGTGGGCGTCTACGCTAAGCCAAACATCTGGATGAAAGATAAGAACTGCAACCATTGCCACACGTCCGAATTTATCAAGACATGTTGATCATAAAACTAAACAGTTGTGGTTTGACTTTTTTTTTTCTCTCCCGATCCTTCCCTTCCCCTCCCCTCCCCCGCCCCTCCATTTCAGCTCCACATTACGGTGTCACCATGGAGCCAAATGTCCACAGGTGCTGGTTTAAGTTTAGCTTTTGGAAGTCTTGTGAAAGGAAATCATATAGAATCTTTAATGTATTTTTTTTTTTGAAAGTGATGCATCTCTTGGGGAAAGCAGCCTCAGAACGAGGTGATGAACACAGCTTAGGGGCCACGAGGTCTGGTGAGCTAGTGTGCTTTTCCCCATGTTTCCACTTCAATTTTTATTTGTTTCTACTGTTCTGGTTTTCTCAGTGGCAGAGGGGAAATACTGCATGGTGACTCCGCTCTGGAAAGCCTACCTCGTGTCGTTGAGCAGAAAAGGGACTGGCTGTGGTGTGTGGCTGATCTCAGCTGGCAAGGAGGAGGTGGGAAGGAGCCAGACAGCCCTGGACCTGCTATTATGAGGGGCTCTACAGTGGTCTTTCATGTCAACCCTGGTGAAAAGCCAGGGACACAAATGCTTGTCTCCGTTTTAGGCATCAGGAAGTTGGGATTCCGAAAAGGTCTAAGATCGGGGGAGCGGGTCCGGGGTATGAACCTGGCGGGGTGTGACCCTGCAGAGGAGCAAGCTGGTCCGGGGTGTGACCCTGAATCTGCCTTTTCGTTCTATACCACAAGTCCAGCTCCCTTAGAGGAAGGTGTGTCACGAAAACCAAAATACTTGTGGAAAGAAATTGGACTATTTAAAGAAACAACTGAGTCTACAGCCATACCACCCTGAACGCGCCTGATCTAGTCTGATCTCGGAAGCTAAGCAGGGTCGGGCCTGGTTAGTACTTGGATGGGAGACTGCCTGGGAATACCGGGTACTGTAGGCTTAAAATAAATAAATAAATAAATAAATAAATAAATAAATAAATAAATAAATAAATAAATAAATAAATAATAAAGAAAGAAAGAAAGAAACAACTGAATCTCACAAGAATGGCGGGTTACACATACATTCTTGGCATCAACAATCCGATACTTCATGTCCTGTAAATCTCAAATGGGACTGACTTTAACCAGCACTTAAGTCTGTGCAAACAATTGAATTTAAAGATACTTAAGGCAGCCCTGGAGACTTTGCTTTGCAGTCCTGGCTGTTACCATACACACCATTCTTTGTATTATTCTCCTCATCTCTCCTAAAACAGAAGGGTGCATTTTAAAAGCTCATATGCATCCTTTCTCATTTTTTGATCATCAAAACCTAAAGGACTGAGCAGCGCACAGCAAGATATAAAGACGATAAGTGTGAGCCTGGCTGACAGTTCTTAGCATGGTGCAAATTTGGAACATGGCTAGACTTGGTCTGTGGGGTTTTTTAGAACTGGAAGAAATGGCTTAGAATATTCTTGCATCCACCACACTGAACCATGGCCTGGAATTGCCAAAATATGTTACATTGATTTTCGTTCAGTTCTCCAAACCTGTCTATTTAAAATCCAGTGAGCAGGGTAGAAAAATCAAACCAAAGTGGCGTTTCAGATTCTTCTGATTGTAAAGTCAGGGCTCATGGTCACATCTGTTCTGTCTGCCTCAACTACAGAACCACCCGCCAGGGTTCTCTATCTCAGAGCTATCTCAGGCAACTCGAGCGTGTGCATATCCTAAAGGAACATGTACTGTGAAGTCGTTTTCGTTTTCTATGTCTGTAATAACTAAATTAATTTACAAGCCTAATGACAAGTATGGATAGACACGGTGTGACACCCCAGGGAGTTACTTTAGGATTTACTCTAAAGGGAACATACAGGTCAAACCTTGAGGCTCCCAACTGTTATTTGTATAGTATTTAATCTCAGTACTAGTCAATTGAAAAAACCCTTAATATTACAGAGGTAAACATATTTATCACGCCTAATACTTAGGAATGGCCACCAGAGCAACCTGTTGAGATAATGAAGGCACAGGAAGCTGGGAGATCTTACTGTATTTTTGGTACCAGAAGAAGAAAGGGATTTCTCTAATCTGAAAAGTGAAGTTGATACTTGAGTATCAACAGCTGAGGTAGAAGAAAAGTCTAGAGTTCTAAGTTGAGTGAGAGACTGAAAATATGGGAAACTCATGAAAGCGAAGCCTGCTCAAATATTTATTTGGCTTCATCGGTTGAATATCGAAAATATCCTAAAAAAAAAAATCCCACTTGGAGATCTAATCTCTCATGCTGCGGGGTGTGATGGGATTGGAAGGTGGGGCTTTGTGGGAGATGGCTGAGTTAAAACAGGTTATTGGTATGGGCTCTAGTCCCATCTGACTGGTGTCCTTGGGAGAGGAGAGAATTTGGACGCAGGCATCTCTGTGGAAGGAAGACCATGGAAGGACCTCATGAGAAGGTTGACTGTTTACATGAGAAGGGAGGGAGGGACAACTCAGAGGAAATCATGCTTATTGTCACCTCGGTCCTGGACTTTTGGCCTCCAGAGACATGGGGAATAAATTCCTGTTGGTTACACTCTGTAGTCTGTGGTGCTTCTGTTGTGGCAGCATGAGCAAATTGATATCTATCTATCTATCTATCTATCTATCTATCTATCTATCTATCTATCTATCTATCCATCCATCCATCCATCCATCCATCCATCCATCCATCCATCTACCTACCTACCTATCATCTATTTATCTGTCTATGTATGTATGTATGTATGTATGTATGTATGTATGTATGTATCTATCTATCTATCTATCTATCTATCTATCATCTGTCTATCATCTGTCTGTCATCTATCTATTCCCATATAGGCTCATATACATATGGATATACATTTGGGTCTATATCCAAAGAGGGCGCAAACTCACCACATCGAAGGCAGTAAACACGTGACAGTAGTGGTGGTTGGACTTCAAATCTTTTGTGATATAAGCAAATGTTGAGAGGTCTTCTGGGTCCTGGGCAGCGCAGGAGATGTTACGAATTTCATGTTCAGCGATGATGTTCTAGGAGAAATGACACCAGTGGTCACCGTTTTTCCTTTGAGAATCAACACATTTGTAGACTCAGGGCAGGCCATCGGGAACCGGCTGCTTTCCTTTTCCCCGCCATATTCAGAGTGACTCAGTGTGCTCGCCCGTGGACAAACGTACACCAGGTTTGGAAGGAATGTTTTCATTTAATAATAATAAACAACCTAAAATCATCATATCCTGGATCAGCTCTCGCCAGATCTGCTGTGAACCAAAGCAGTCTGGGTGACAGACAATTAGAAAACAAGACGGAACAGTGATTACTGAGCATTTCACCACGTCCACTCCCCACCTCCTGCAGGAGATAGGCTGTCTTGCCTACTGCTAATCCTGTCTGGGAGCAGTCATCTGTCGCTGGCATGTATGAGGGGAGCTGTGACCGCGGGAGGTTGTCCAAACCCTTCGATGTTGTCTTTGTCCTCTGCTCCTAACTGCCCCCTTTGTTCTCAGGCGCTGGGCTGGAACCCAGGACCTTGCTCGCGTTTTCTGCCATACCTCTCCACTCCCAAAGCGAGGGTGCATTCAGAATGAAGCAGGGGGGAAGACTCAGTTCTCTCTCTCTCTCTCTCTCTCTCTCTCTCTCTCTCTCTCTCTCTCTCTCTCTCTCTCAGGTTCTCAGGAGGCTGAGAGTGCAGGGCAAGGGGAACACTGTACTGTGATGTTCAGGCTTTAGGTGCCTTGCTGGATGCAAGGACCTATGAATGGGATAGCTCTTTCCTATAGAATAACGGTGTGTGTGTGTGTGTGTGTGTGTGTGTGTGTGTGTGTGTGTGTGTGACTGCCACTATCTTACAGGTGAGGAAACTGGACCTTCAGTAACTCATGCAGGGAAGGGGTGGAGCTGGGGCTGAGGTCTGGGGTTTTTGGAGAGCTGACACTCTTTGGAGGGTCCTGTAAAACTTGTGATCGCAACCCCTCCTCGCTGGTGTGATAGACTTGCATTTCTCGTGTTATCTCCCTCCTAGCCCTGGAGCATAATCGGTGGGAGGAACGGTTCAGGACCAGTGTTCTGAAGCACAAACAATCAAGAGATCTTTGCTGCAAAACCTGCTAGAAACTTCTTTTGATACACAGATGTATTTAAAGAGCCCTATAACAGTACAATCATTTTTTTTTATCTTATAATTTCTCACATGTCGTTTGCGGTTGTCATAGATATAAAACCTCCAATGCTTCAGTTACCCTAATTACTTTTTAATTGCATATCTTAAAGAACCCGTTGGCAATACAATGTTCCATGTCTACTCATCAATGCTTAAAAACACTGACAAAATGTCCTTCCCTGCCAGCACCCTCAGCGAGTACTTCATGTCCCTCACTCTACCAAGCTCTGCAGTTGGAAAGCAATTACAGAATTAACACATAAAAGAAAATTAAATTAAGACATTCTTCACTGTGGCCTTGAATGCTGACACTGTGTGCAGCTGCTCTGTCAAAAATAACTCAAATGGAAATTGGAAACGATAAACAAGTAACATTGTATTGCCAGACAGCGTCAACATAAAGTCCTGGTCCTCTTCCTGCACTCAGGTAGCATTTCTTTAACCAGAACACTGAATTAGGAAGGAACATGTGGATCTTCAGAAGGAATTTTTTTAAGGTCTGTGTCGTCTTTGAAGGTGCTGTTACCACATGTGGGGTGCTGTTACCACATGTGGAAAGTCTTGGCCATCACTGGATTGCCATTGTTGGACCCTAGAAGTCTGGACTCAATGCTGGCTTTACCTGCTATGGTGGGTAGTGTTGTTAACTTGGGGGAAGGGTTTCTGGGCATGTTGGAAGGGGCTTATCTTGATTACTGTTCAATGAGGTAGGAAGGCCTGCCTGCAGTGGGCAGCAGCATTTATGGGCCCATTCCTAGACTGAACGAAAAGGAGAGAGGTAGTTGAACATGAAACACTTGTTTCTCTCTGCTTCTTCACTGTGACCAGCTACTTCATCTCCTGCTCACTGTGACCTCCCTGTAATGATGGATACTACCTGTACTGTGAGCCGTAAGGCGCTGAAGGTCCAGTTACCACTATAAGATAGTGGCAGTATCTCTCTCTCTCTGTGTCTGTCTCTCATCAAGTTGCTTCCAATCTTGTATTTTGTCAGAACGATGTGTAAAGTAACCATCGAGGACTGGCTCCAGCTTTTAAGCTGGTATCTGCATCCTTGAGGACCTTTGTCAGCATAAGGGAATGGTCATAGGGACAAGTGCCCTGTGAGATTTGCGGCATTGAGTTTCCAGGCTCCTGACGATTTGTTGTGACAGTGTTGTGGTCCTGGACAAAAGTACAACGCAGGTAAGTTGGGTCTCCAGTGCTCTGTCCTCCTGCTTCCGAATCCTTCCCGGGATTTTCTGAAGACTTTTCCTTCTTGTCCCCAAGAGGCCAGGTGTGGCAGAGAGAATGGAGCCATTATCACTGAAGCTCACCCCCAGTCACAGGATCAGCTTTAAAGTTCCTTTGAGGCATCTGTGACACATGTATTATACAAATGTCATCTTTCCTCACTGTTGAAAATGTCTCAGCTAGGAGGAATGTGATACCACTAAGATCGCATAAGTCTATCCTCAGGAAGGTGTATATTCACAGGCCCTTGTGATATATCCCTGGTAGACCCTGGTGAGGACTGGGATGTCTGAGTACTGCCTCCCTCACTACCATCCACTTTTGGGGACAGTGAGGCCAGTTCTCTATCTGTGGAATGGATCTAAGGCCAAGGACTCTGCAGCTGCACACTTTATGGAAAGTGGATTGGCCAACTCACCCCTTGGAGAAGATTCAAAGAAGAGAGGATCCCTTGCCCTTCAGTCATGCATCAACTGTGGCTACTCCACAGATTAAAAGGTGATGTTATCACGAGGTGCTGTTTGTAGCTCAGTGGAAGATCAGACTCTTGTATGTTGTTAGTTTTCATTTCTAAGAGTGTTCGTTCTAAGGAAGGCTCATGAGAAGGCCCGGGGAGGGGCTCTCCTACCTTCCTTTGGCTAGGGTTTGGCAGCTTAATGCCTTTCAACTTCCGCCTGACCACCTTTCATCATGTGCAGAAACAGCTACTGTTGTATCTGGTGGGTGTGTGGGGAATAGAACTGTTTGGTCCAGCCACTTTATATGACAGTTCGAAGAAGGGTGTGAGATTCCAAAGGGATGCAGCCTAGGAATCTACCCTCACCACACCCTTCAGTCTTTATGATACCACAGAGAGCTTCTCCTGACCACTTCCTCGGGCCAGACTCTTTCCCATCAAGGGACTGAAGTATTCCCTCTAGAGAAGGACCAGGATGGAGGCAGAGCTCTGAGAGGTGGTTAACTGAGGATGCCCTGTGGGCTGCTTGATGCTAAGGACCACAGTACAGACCAATTGTGGTCTCTTGGGACTCCCAGCTGCTTATGAGAAGTGTGTGCTATGAAAAACAATGATATGTTTGAAGTTGTCATCAAATGAAAAACAAAACAAAACAAACAAACAAAAAACCTTGAACACTGAAGTGAGAAAGACTCCAATCCCATACTCTTTCTATTGCAGTCACAGAAGGCTAGGGAGAGAGCACAGGAGGGTGAATATGACCCAAGCCTCTGTCATTCCTGGATGTGGGAATTGGGTCACCTCTTGGAAGACCCTGCTAATCTCAAGAAAGGTCAGTAATCAAACAGCTAGAGTCCTAGCGGCCAGGTTCCTGTAGGGACTGATGCTGGGTTGCTGATCTACGAAAGCAGATGTGATTTCCCTAAAACATCTTAGGACTAAGTCTATTCCAAGTTCCATTTCAAATTCAAGACCCCCTTTGCTTCTTCCTTCTTAAATCAGGCTGAGTGATTAGTTTCATAAGTTGCTAGGCAATACATTTATGTGTTTATAACCAGGCACCTGGCCCTTCCCCATGAACTCAGAGCTATTTCCTTACTGACTGAAAAAGAAATGCTTCACTGAAGGCTTCATCTTTTGCATTCTCTAATGGGGGCTAATAGGAAAGGAAGGGTAATGAACATATAATTAATTACTCGTTGTACTTTAAACTAATTGGTAGAAGGTAGCTGTGGAGTAATAGAAAATGTATGAGGTTTGGCAGTGGAAAACTCCATGACAAACAGGCTGTGCCTGTGGGCAGACATTGGTCAAAGGACAGGGACCTTAAGATGTCTGTGTGGACTGGACAGCCCTGTCCACCTGACCAGCTTAAGGCCGAGGGACATATGCTGAAGACGCAAAGCACCATGGGAACACACCAAGGTGTGCCGCGCTTCAGTACGGGCTTCGTGGCCACAAGCGCCTGAAATGATGTGGTCCCCATGCACACTTCCGCTGCCCAAGTTCTTCACTCGTCCCACCAAGACAACACTTTCCAGCGGGGGAAACGAAAGGAATCTAGAACGCAGCACTTGAGTTCATCTCTTCTCCCTTGCTGCGGATCCTTCCCGCCTTCTGAAGCTAGACCCTCCTGCGGATCCTTCCTGCCTTCTGAAGCCAGACCCTCCTGTGGATCCTTCCCGCCTTCTGAAGCCAGCCCCTCAGTCCGGGAGGCGCTTCTCCCAGGCTTCTCTGCAGCCTTATACTCAACTGGAACATCTGTCACAGACCGCAATGCAAGGACTTGAAAGATACCCTGATCTTCTTTATTCATGGTCTTTATGGACACAAACTGTCCTTTGCGTATTTTCCTGTGCTGATGCTTTCAAAGAGGTTGGCGAGCAGAGGTCTGCACTGTCACTGGCGACTGAGTCAGAAACATCTCAAGAGGTACAGGAGCATCCATGACTACATCCCCTCTATGTGTGTCTCTCTTTCTGCCAAATGCAGCAGGTCTGGCTCAGCTTCCCTCACTGTTCCGATGGTGGGGGTCTGGGCAGAGAGGGTGCTACTGATGTAGATGCAGGTGGTTATGGCACCACTGAATGACAGACCTGACCCTTCAGACGGCAGCAACTTCAGCGAGCAAATGGCCTATGTTTGGAAATTGCCAGAATCCAATTCAGTTTGGAGAGCGTCAAACTCATCACTGCTCTCCAAGCTTTTCCAATTCAACAGGATCAAGACAGTTGCCCTAGGTTAGAGTGAGGGGTGTGTGCGTGTGGGTTGGTGGAGGGTCTAGGTGCTAAAGTCTTTCTTCCACATTAGATAGACCAAAAGCAATGGTATCTTCAATGAACATTTCAATACTAGAAATCTTAAAACAACTTAACTCCAATTTAAGGATAAGGTAATTTTATGTACCAGAAACTAAAAAACAAACAAACAAACAAACAAAAACAACAACAAAAAAGCCAATCAAGGGTTGTTCTGATTGGAGTCTGTGGTTGTAACCTGACATCCTAAAGGTCAATGACATACTGCACAGCTGAGTCATCATTAAAGATAAGGCACTTAATACACTCGGGCTACTGTTAGCCATCATGGTAATGCTGTGTTATAGGCTTTCTGCCTGAGTTCTGGAGTTTTCCCCCAAACTGGGAGGCTGTTTTCCATAGCATATGTAGGGACACCTGGGCTTATCCAACTGCCAATGAAACATTTTATAGAAAAGTAATCAGGGAAATGTCTAAGGGGTTGACTCAGGTGCTTAAGTTTACAGACACAAAGGGTCACTGTCCATGCGACTTTTCCCTCATGTTGCATTCCAGTGGCTTTTGCTCCCTGTCACCACTGCTGAAGTTGACTTGTTTCTTGGCTCTCAATAATGGAATGGGTCTAGGGGCAAGATCAAGGTGATCGATGCGGTAGACAAACACCGTTTACAAACAGTGATCACCTCATCTCTTCCTTCTGTGGGGGGAGTAAAGCACATGGACCTTCAGGGTTTTGTGAGGAGCCAGTCAGCTTTTACAACAGTGACAGTGGCCGCACCTACGCTTCCGAGGTCAGCACCAGGATTCTGTGGTCTCGGCTCTGACGGGGAACGCTAAGATGCTTTTCAAGTGAAACACAATCCAGCTGGCCACACTTGGCCTCAGAGCTGCCAAGAGTTCCCACCGTGAGAACAAAGACACAGCATGTCCTCAGCTGCTTTCCTGATTGTGTCTCTTAAGAAAACAAACAGTAGCAACTCTCTTCACCCCAGTAGTGTGGAATTAAAGGTAGTTATAGAATACAAAATGTCAGTATGTGCTCCTTACACCAGGTATTTGTGACCTGTACCAAAAGAGGGGACAATCACTTCTTGGCCTTTTGGCTAAGATCAAGTATAGTTTCCAAAGGCGAGAACACACACAAATATATTTAGAACCAAACAAAGACCAGTGTCTTCACACTTTGCTTGCTGACGTTCCTATGACGAAGGAATGCCATCATGCCTTTAATAAATTATTTTGTTGTGGTTGATGTTTCACTGTTCTCCAGATCTGAAGGGACATGGCTGCTACGTGGCCCCTGTCTGCTAGAGGGAACGCTGTGAAGCACAAGAGTAAAAATACGCAAAGCGATCCTAGATCAGGACCCCAAATGAATCCCGCCTTTTTGTGTGTGCCAGTGGGTACACACGTGTGCATCACAGCTGTAGGTATAAGCAGGATGCGGGCAGGCGAGGAGGGGGAGGAGTGATGAAGAGGTGCGTGTGTGTGTGTGTGTGTGTGTGTGTGTGTGTGTGTGTGTGTGCGCGCGCGCGCGAGCCAGGATTTTAGATCCCATACTCAGGACTGTGTCTGGAATCTGAACCAAAGAGAGGTTAGGCACCTACCTTATTTGTTGCATCAATAAATTTGACTCCTTTATACGAGACTGAAAGAATAATAGTGGGGACCTTCTTCATTTGCTCTGTAGACTTCTGAAATTAAAACCAGGATGCTGTTAGAGAAGTGTGTTGCATAGCAACGGAAAGCACGTCCTTTTGTTTCCTCTTGAAAGATAAAAATGAAGCTAAAACCACACACACACACACACAGACACACACAGACACACACACATACACAGACACACACAGACACACATACACAGACACACAAAGACACACACAGACACACACACACAGACACACACACAGACACAGACACACAGACACACACACAGACACAGACACACACAGACACAGACACACAGACACACACACAGACACATACACACAGACACAGACACACAGACACACACACAGACACACAGACACAGACACACACAGACAGACACACACACAGACACAGACACATACACAGAC